GGATGCGAAGTTCAGATCTTCCAAGAAAACAGCTGAGCCACCGCTTCCCAAGCGCGGAGAAAACACTGCTGAGTTTGCAGCTTCTAAAACAGGCCAGTGGAAAAAAAAAAAACCATAAAATTGGCAGGTTTAACTTTGCATCAATTCACAGCGTATTGTTACATTTTTAAAGTATATAAAAATATTGATCATAAGCGAGGCAATTACTGCTGCCCGTATTTAAAGCCATGCGGCAGGCAATAAGGAGCCGTCGCTGAACCCGCCCTGCCATTTTGCAGGAGGGGGCAAAAAAACCTCTCTCGGAGGGGAAAACTCACGAGCAGAGGCTCCTCGCACGTGAGCCCACGCACGCCCGCGGGGCTGGAGGTCTCTAAACCAAAAATTGTGATTAAATGATGGAAATTGCCAAGATGGGAACAGTTTTGAACACGCTACTTAACGAGAAGCTGAAGTACAGGCGACCGGCGGATGTACCCCCCATGTACTGACAAATACTTTATCTCCAAAGGCTTCAAAACCATCGTAATTGCTATTCCCAGTCCCATTGAAAACACAACAAGAACTTCTTCAGCTACCTCCAAACCTCCATCACTTTGAGTTGGGCCTCAAAATAGCTTTAATAATCCTGAGACTGAAGCCCAAGGGAGGTTAAAGCATCTTCCTTTGAAGCAAAACCACCCCTTACCCTCCCAGTCAGAGCCCCTCTCCAGTTGTGTGGGTGACACTGGTGCAAAACGCGAGCCGGGCAGGCACAGCCGCTGCAGAAACACCTCTGCGGTGACCAAACACGGTGTTTGGGTAGCGAGTTTTGTAGAGAATAAATATCACACTTCAATTTCATGGTAACTTAGGAGGGTTTACTGGCAAATACCATGGCTTTTACATGGTTCTACCAATTACCGAGCAATTACATGTAACCTAGATCTGGAGGACATGCAGTAGTGATGTAATGTATCCCTCTCTCTGTTAAGAAGAAAAAGGCAGTTAATAGAAAACACACTTTTTTTTTTTTTTAAATTATAAACCCCTCCACAATATTCCTGTGTGACATTAAAACTCCACATCAATATCAAACCCAAAGCAAAGACTGCTATCCCATTAACACGTCAGTTGTGGGACGATCAATAAAAATTTACTTTAAACGGCGCCATATGTCGCTCCCCACAAAGTTTTATTATTCAGATTCATCAGTTTGTACCTCAACCCCCGTGCAATTAAATCCCATTTAGCAGCACTGACCTTCTGATTTGAACTTGTCATTCCTACAGCTGGTTTGGAGTTTAACAGCACTTTTAAATAATGAAAACAGAATGTCTGTGAATTAACGGTGGGGTACGGGGAACCCTCCGCTGGGAAATCCCTCTCGCACCGCTGCCGGCGGCACAGCTCCCGCGCCGGAACAGGGAAGGGGGGGAAAAGGGAAAAAAAATTAAAAAATAAAAAAAAAGAGTGCCAGCACATTTTAACATGTTGTAGCATATTTGTAAACATCGTTAATCACGGATTAGCAGATGGTAATGTTAATTGCACCTGTGGAAGTAACAAGACCTCAAGGTTGATTACATTTACAAACTCGGATCGGGGCTGCGGCGCGGCGGATTCCCCACCGCCGGGAGGAAGGTGCCCCTCGGGCGGCGTTTCCAGCACCCACCCTGTCCCCTTCCGCCGCCAAACCATCGCCAGCTTCGCAAAGACAAAGGCGACGTTCTCTGTCCCAAAGCCCTTCCAGCCTCAGGAAACCTCACTGGGACCCAGCGATGGATTTGATGGAATGGGATTTTTTCGGTCGTCTTGATCACCCGTGCACAAAAGCGCAGTCTGGGGCATGAGCTGAGCTGCCCTCACAGGCAGTTCTCCCTGGAGTTGATTTTTGGGGGGTGAAAAGATTTGTGTTCCCCCTCCTCTAGGGATAGAAAGGCCAAGGCATGGAGCGCATCTTCTGAACCAAGGAAGACAAATATTTTGCCACTGTGCCTAGAGACACTTTGATTATTGAGAAATCATTTTGGAAGGGCAATTACTAAATTTTAAAACCAAGTTGGTAAATAAGCCTCTGAAAGAAATCCATGACAAGCAGCAGGGAGGGAAGAATTGACTTTCAAGTTATACACACACACTTTATTGATATCTAAATATCAAAGAGACTGTATGTACAAACAGAAGTAATCAGGATGCGTGTTTTGATCTTGCTGATGTACACAAAAAATGACAATTAATGTCCTCCTTTATGATATAAAGCCAGGAGTTTTTTTACAGTTACATTACAGGGACGATTACAGTCAAGCTTAAGGCTAAAAATAATGAAAGACTATAAAAACTACATTTTAACATTTAAAAATATCCAGGAAATTAACTGGAGAAGCAGGCAATGATCCAATTAATGGATCGCATTTATTAGATCAGGGGCAAACCGCACAGCACAAAGCTCCATCTCCAAAGGTGCGAGTGTGCGGAGGTCCCCGCGCTCCGTGCGGGTCTCAGCCCAGAGCAGGATGGAGCTGGGGCAGAAGGAGAAAGCATCAGCCATCAGATACATCCAAAAGGTGCCCAGGTGACAGCAGAGGGACATCCCAGTGAAACAAAGCGGGGCCAAAACTTACCACGGAGGGAAACGGGCTAAACGCAAACAGCAGAGCCATCCAGAGTGGGATTTACTGCGCTCACAAAAGCACGTATTGCAGCTCTCCAGCAAAAAGCCTGAGCTGCAGCCCTCGTTACGCGCTCAAATTCCTGCCTCTTAAAATTCAAGCCTTGTGCGACTCCCAATAAGCCTTGTCTGATACTCCCGTGCCAAAGCAAGGCGCTCTGTGGATACAGCAGCTGCGTGGGGAAATTCACAGGGGAGTCGCGACGGCCGCTGGGCTGATGGACAAGCGACTGCGGG